ACAAGGGCTGGGGATGTAGTGGTAGTGATGGCCTCACATGTGTGGAAAGTTCAATCCCCAGGACAACAGTAACAGCAAAAATGTTTTGAACTGTGGATACACTTAAAAAGTCTCAGGGAGCCTCTCTGAGATTCGCACCCTACACACTTCAGCCTTCACTTCCTTCACCTCCCTCCCTACTGCTGACCTGACTCCTGCCTGGCAGCACACCAGCCTCCTGGCTGCTCTTCACACACTTCAGCCTTGGCACTGTTGCTCCTTTTGTCTAAAAATTCTCTCCCCCAGATCCATTTACTCTTTCAAAAAACTATCACTGAGCATCTATTATGTGTCAAGCATTTTCCTAGTCTCTAGAAATAATATAGCAGTTAACACAGGGAAAAAACCTTGCCTCCCAGCGGGTGAGCCCTGTTAATACAGCTGCTGAGTGTCCTCGAATGTCCACTTCTTAATGCAGACCTCTCTGACCAGTGGTTAGGACTTCAGCTCCCAGGCAGGGTCTGCAGCTCAATGGTAAAGTCATACTCAGCCCTGGGAGCACCCAACATACAAACAAAAACCCTTCCCAACAACAAGAACAACGACAAAATACTTCCCTTCTTTCCTCGGTTTTCTCTGAAGTACTTAACACACTTGGGACACTATACATGGTACTTATTTTTGCTCTCTACCCCTTGCAGGCCCCATGAAGGTAAGGATTTTGCCACTTTGTTCACTGAGAGCCATTGTACCTAGACAGTTCCTGATCCCCAGCAGCTGAACAGTAAGTAGCACTCTAGTGAATGGATGGGCAGATAGATGAACTTCTCCAGCTCGCTCGGGTGTTTGGGGATTGAGACAGAATTCTTTGAGGCCAAGAAACAGATGTCATAGTAAATGAAAATGGGCCAAGCACTTTTAGGGCAGTGCCACCTGGGAGGAGTACACAGAGATCCAGGAATCCTATAAGGGGAACCTGCTGCCCAAGGGGGAAGGTGTTCCTCTGGTTCTATAAAGCCCTTTCCTTTATCCATGACCACAGCTGCCCTGGACCTGCCTTACACAGGCTCAGGCCTTGCTCTTGCATGAGGAGAGCAGGACAGGAGCCAGGCCTGGAGGCAGCTCTGTTTCAACAGCCAAATAGTTTCACAGTAACTGTCCCCTATAAAAGGAAATTGGTTTCTAGAAAAGAATGGTGGCATCAGTGTCGCGTGAAATGTTATACAACAGCCCCCAGCCCCCAGGGAGATAAGTGAAGGACTTGTACTATTTCTGATTTCTGTGAGAGTTTTTAAAATCTGTGTCAGAAAACTATGAAGCTGTCATGAGCCCAGGGTGTCTCAATGGCAGCACTTCTTCATTCAAGCCAAGATGACAAAGAGGATCCAAAGGGTTATTGTGCCCCCCACAATTCACCAGCTTCAGATAAGGCCACCCAGAGACAGGGTGGAGGTGGGGAGGCAAATGAGATAGAAAGCTAGACACCAGAAACACCAGCCTCCAAGCAGAACATGGATGGGACAAAAACAGCTTTCTACACTGCTGGAGATAAAAGTCACAGACAGGCCAGGCAATAGGGCTCTACCTGCACCATCATCTCCATCCACAGTGGGGCCTCCATACTGCCCAGCAGTCCTTTCATGGAGCCCCTACTGGTTTCTCCAAGACTGGTTCTGTGCCTCAGGTCATCTGCTCCATGCCCAACCCCATTCCACTTTCAAATGACCTTTAACATGGTAGAGAACTATTCTTAGAGATATTACGGGTCCTTCACTTACCACTTGGGGAGGTGGGCTGGGGGCTTCCTGTTCTTCAACTTTGATACCTACCTACTTCTGCTGCCTCAGAGAAGCCTTCCAGCTGTCAAAGAATGTCCAACTCCCCCTCTCTGATCTCTGAATCTGCCTCCCTCATCTTAAGCACTTTTCAGTGGACAGTTGAGTGGCATCAAGTACATTTGCATGTTACACAGTCGTCACCATCTGTCATACATTTCTTCTCGCTAGCACATTCCTTCCCCTTTGTCCTTTTAATGTGCCAAAGTCTGACATCTTTAAACACACATGGGTGCTCACACAGACACTCACAAAGCCCTTACCCTGCATCCCTTCAAGGTACTGTGCTTCCTGAAAGATGGTGGACCAAGTCTGCTCTTCAGTCATCATCTTTAACCTCCCAGTGATCCTTTTCTTTTCACTCCCTTTCCAATCTGGTTTCTGTCTCCATCACTCCACTGAGGTTGACTACGGCTTCTAAAAAAGGCTCAGTCCTTGTCTCACTTGTTCCCCTTCTTCGGCTCTTACTGGAAACTCCTGCCATCTGCACTACGAGACTCGCCTTCTGCTTCTCCTTACTGTTCTCATCACTCTCTGAGGCTCTCAAATGGCTCCAGTTCTTTCATCTACTGCTCTTTCAAAAAATGGAATTTTCCTCCTTCTGACCTTGCTCCTGTGATCCAAATGCTACTAAACATCTCCATCCACATACCCCACAGGAACCCGAAGATGAGCAAGTCCCAAACTGAACACTTCTGTTCTCTTCTCCCAGCTCCTGGGGACAGCCAAATACCACCACTCACCAAGCGGAAATATGGAGTCATCTCAGACCCTTCTCTGTTCTTTACGCTCTCAATCTAATCTACTGTTTCTAACCTTCTAGGACCTCGATTTCACGGAGTTCATCTCTCTACCATTCCCTTGGTGGAAGCATCAAGATTGCTAGCTTAGACTATCAAAACAGCCCCTTATCTTGCACCCTTTCCAATCCATCACCCACCTGAGTGCCAGAGTATTCTTTCTTAAGAGCAAATTTGATCCCCCATTTCAGTCCTCCATGATTTTAGGAAATAATCCAAATGCTCGACAAGGCTCCAAAGGGCCATTAAGATCTAACACCAGGGCCGGGGATTAGCTCAGTGATTATGCCACCTGCCTCGCAAGTGCAAGGATCCAAGTTCAATCCCCGGTACCAAAAAAAGAAAGAAAGAAAAATTCAACTTCTTAAAAAAAAGATCTAGCACCAGCCTTATTTTCTACACTTCTGAGGCAAACCATTTTCTGCTGGGCATGGTAGCACACACCTGTAATCCCAGCGCTCAGGAGGCTGAGGCAGGAGGATCACTACAAATTTGAGACCCCCTTGGGCTACATATGTAGTGAGTTCAAGGTCATTCTGCAATACACAGCAAGATCTTGTCTTTAAAAAAAATTTTTCTTTTCTTTAGCCATATTCCCTGGGAGCCTCCTTATCTTTGCTCACAGTGTTCCCCTTGGTCTTATGTGCCCCTCTTGCTTGTCTACTAGAGACCCCTCCTCATCATTCCAGGGTTCAGAGCCGACTCCACCTTCCCATAGTTAACTACTTCTCCCTGTGTTCTCTTTCTCCTTGGTGCACTCCTCCCTTTCAATACTCAACCCCTAGTTCTGAAACTCACCCTTGTCCATCTGCCCACAAGCTTGTGTGGCTCTCACTAGCAGGAAGAAGAGTTTGTGTTCATTCACACCCTCAGTGTAGATGCTGGTAGAAAAGCTGGTACTAAGTATAGCAGGTAACAGGAAAGAAGGAAAACGAAAAAGAAAGGCCTGTTTGGGCCACATTGTCTAATGTCACAGAACTATAAAAAAGGAGGAAAGGTATTTACATGATGATTAGTGTACTATTAACTTGCTAGTTAAGAAGGTGAGAAAAGGGGGAGAAAGTAGACAAAGTTGAGTTTGTAAGGCAGTGATGGTGAACGTTTTAGAGACTGAGTCCCCAGACTGTAGCCCAAAATCCACTTATTTATCACAAAGTGCCAACACTGCAATTAAACCTCAATACTGAAGTTTTAGTTTACAAAAAACAATTAACATTAACATCTTTTATCTTAAAAGAGCTTTTAATGATACAAACAGCTTTTTTTTTGGTACCAGGGATCGAACTCGGGACCTTGTGCTTGCGAGGCAGGTGGCAGAACCACTGAGCTAAATAAATCCCCGGCCCCACAAACAGCTTTTTATTGAAAGGTTGAAGTCTGCATTTGGCCGCCTTTGCAGAATTAATGTGACCTCACTGTTGTGTGCATGCTGATAATCTGTCCAAGCCTGGCTGGGGAGAGAGCTCTGTGTGTCCTTTCCCCACCACTGTCCTAAGGCTCTCCTAATTATAAAAGGGCTGTTGTTCTCAGTTCACACTCCAGGAAGGTATTTACCTTTTTCAGATATCGGAGGCTACCTAAGGCACTGGTACTGTGAGTCTGAAGTGCCCAAGAGTGAGGCGCTTTAAGGGGAAGCCTCACCAGAGGACCCACAGGCTTCTCAGAGGCAGAAATGGTGAAGAAAGGAGAGAAAGTGAGTCTAAGTAAACACTCTGGGAAGGCTGGCGGCTAACAAAGGAAGGGCCTTTGCTCTCTCCCCAACCAGGTAGCTGTGTGCTCCCCTCCTCACCCTATCCTCCAGGTACTAAGAAAAGGGACTAGATCTCTATCTGGCCTCCAGGCTACATCCAATGGGCAATGGGAACTAGGTAGCTCTCAGGCCTACTCTGCATTTTTCCAACCATATTCAGGAAGAAATCTCAGTTTTTCTCTCCGAAGCAGAAATAAACCTATAAGGCTAAAGTGAATCTAGCTCAGTGGAATGTACCTCCCTTTCCAGTTAGTTTAAGGACTTTGGCATAACTTCCTCTGGATCAAGTGCCTCTCAAGGCCTAACCTCACACTAATTCCTGCTGAGCTGGGATGCTGCCCTCGATCACTCCCACAGCAACACCCCTGACTCCTTCACAGGGCAAGGAGGCTCATTTGGCTGGAAATGAGACATTTTAAAGGAAAGGGAGTGACAACAAGATTTTTCCTTATGCTTAAGCATATTGCAAATTCCCTAAACTATACTCTGGCAGGGTCTTAAAAGTCCACACCTTATAACTTCTCCCTTGTTACATTACCCCCTGCCCTGGGGATGACCCCCACCCCCAGCCCGCTCAAGGGCATACTGAAGTACAGCCAAAACTTTAACTTCTTTTCTCTCAAAGACCAACTGCCAAAAACCAACTGCCACGACCTCTTGGGCTCCAAAATTCCAACTGCTCCAGGCTCAAAGCCAAAAAGCTACCAGGGTTTTTCTACAGAAGATGTAAATCTTCACTCAATTCAGCACCAATGAGGTTAGAGAACGCAGACCAAAGAAGGCCTACAGGCTAAATTCCACATCTACCCTGCCGTAAAATGCCAACACCTGATGGCCAAGAGGCCTGGCACCCCTTCAGGCTGGCAGCAATTTCCAGGTACAGGTAGCACTCTGCCCACCACCTGACTTTCTAAAATCCTGTCCAACTTCTTGCAGGCACAGGACTACTGCTAATTGACCTCCTGGCTCGGGAAGATAAAGGCTTTGGCTTGGTTCATGAACTGAGAGCTAAAATCTGAGAAAACCCAAATGCTCCCTAGGGTATGTTAGAAAGTGTTACTTACTGCTGTGACCCTTCGCCAATTGTCCCGTAGGCAAGACTCATTCCAAGGAAGCCATCCTTAGAGGAAAGCAAACAAAGATGCCCCCTGCCCACTCATAAGCTGCTGTACCTGTAGCCAAGCACCACCACACTCTAAGCATGACCAAGCTGATCCAGGTGCTCCTCACTCCTCAGCTCCAGGTCATCCACAGGCTAAACAGACCACATTTAGAAATACTGCTTGCTTGGGGGCAGGGAAGAGAGAAGTCAATCCTTTCAACTCAAACATCTGATCCAGACACTGCACACTAGAGACAAAAAGACTTCGATCTGGTATTCCAGAAGACATCTGAGCAGAGGCCTGAGCACCTCCTTCACAGGATAAGGGCAGCAGGAATTCAGCACCTCACCAGGGGATGACCTGAGTACAGCTCTTTCTGTCCTCTGCCTGCCTTCCCATTCCATGCTGGGCTTCCATCCCAGTTAACAAGAGCCAATCTGTTTACTAAGAACCTAGCAGGTGACAAGAGCAAGCTTACAATAGTGAAGACAAGGGCCTTGTCATCAAAGGAGCTTATGGCTCCTCAAGAGTGGTGAATGCCATTGCCATGCAACTGACTGAGAGGCATCAGCAGTGAAGGTAGGAAAAAAAGTTACTTTACTTTCAGTCACCTAGGGAATTTGGGAAGAAAGCAGTCAGAGGAGGGCAGAGAAACTGTACAGTACACAGTCCACTGAAATCACAACTTAACCACAGGACGACTGCTCCTCTTCTATTTGAGAAAGACTAAACTGGGAGATTTTAATTTCACAAAAATTCCCTGCTTACCTATAACCTGGGTGTTAACAAAGCAATAAATCTGACCATACAGCAGGGGTAAAAGAGTCATGGGATCTGAATCTACCACAAACTAGGCACCTGGCCTCTGGACCCTGTGGTGTCTGGGCTTCTCACCACGCCTGTCTGTCTGCAAACAGAAAAGGGTGTGGCTTACTCGTACTCAGTACTCCAACCTTGATACAAACTAGACCCTGGGAACCAAGCAGGGTAGAGGAAAAACACACCGCGCCTGATTCCCGACAGCAGAACCTCTGCGTCAAAGTCTTCTACTAAGGTGCAACTTACAATATCATTTGACTATTTCGAGTGTGCAAATCAGTTATTTTTGCTAAATCTGCCAAGTTGTGTAACCATCATCATAATCTAGTTTTAAAACATTTCCATCACCCTGGAGAGAATTTAAAACATTTTAAAAATTTTTATCAGCATATGCTTGTAGTACATAATGATTACATTCATTATGGGGAGTTGGTACATGTATATAACACGTCTTAATTCTTTGTACTTCCCCTTCTGGAGGGTACTTTAGATGTAATGGCTCAGAGAGGTTTAGGAGGCTGAAGGATGTTAAGAAAAGTTAGTATTCACTTGTTGCCGTCAATTCAGCAACATAAAGGGAACTCGGAGCAGGTCCAAGAAAGCTGAAGCCGCAGCTGTCTTGCCTGGGCAGGAAAAGTTCACACATTTAAAAAAATTAACTATTGTTGAGAACAGTGCTTCCCAAGGGAAAATGAAGGATCCCTTGGCCTATGTTTTCCCAGCAATGCTCAGGTAGTTCCAGAAGTCTCTCCACCACAACGGGCCTTCAGTACTAGAGCCAGGGATCAAGTGCAGGTGAGTAAAAGCCCAAAATGGGCACTGTCCCATCTTCCTGACAGCTGTCTGCTTTCAGACACAGTGAGAGCAATAGGCTACAGACCTCAAACCTACTAATTTGCTACATCACTCATCAAAGAAATGAAATGAAATTTATGGAAAGTGCTTTGACCTTGAAAACAAACACATAGGCATCTTAGTTGACAGTACTCACAGAACTGTAAAGTTTTACAGATGTCTTGTATCCTGCAATTGAGCTCGGCAAAGCTCTCAATTTGTCTTCATAGGTAAAGCAAACCAATGAAGGGAAAGTAGAATTAACAAATCAGAAATAGGTAGAGGAATAAAGGTCTAATACAATTGGATTGCTTAGAAATGAGCACTCTGCCCTGACTCTAAAACACACACCTTCAGCACTCTGACACACGCACCCTCCTGTACACAGTCTGGTTTGGAAAAGGAATAGTCCCAGGGAGAAGTATGAATCCATTAAGAGCAACCAAAAAGCCAGTCTGGCAAAGGACAAAAGACCATACAGCTTGGTGGGGGTGTAGCTCAGTGGCACAGCTTAACTCCCTTCTCCTGGTTCTTCTCCAGATGTGCTTTCAACTTCTTAGGTCACATTCATGAACAATAAGGACTCCCAGGGTCTATCCTTGGTCGTCTTTCCTTTTGTTCCCTTCTAGTACCATCTTTGTACCTCTCCATTGGACATCTCCATCAGAATATGTCAGGGTGCCCCCAAATCAAGCCACTCAAAACAGGACTCTGCATCCTCCTCCAAACTTATCCTTGTCCCTGAATGGCAATGCCTGTGAAACTGTCATTCAGCCTGCCAGAATTCTAGGTATCACCCTCCACCTCTCCCTTACTTCCTGTTGCTAAAGGAGGGGAAGGACAACTATCCTCTGTTAATAAGTACTGTGGCCGGGCGTGGTGGTGCACACCTGTGATCCCAGCACTCAGGAGGCTGAGGCAGGAGGATCACAGAGAGTTTGAAGCCAGCCTGGGTTACACAGTGAGTTCTGGGGCACCCTGAATTACAGCCTGAATTTTTTGAGACTGTCTCAAAAAAACAAAAAACAAAAACAAACAAACAAACAAATTACTGTGGGAAAGCAGGTCAGCATAGGGTATAGTCTCATTTGTTTTTCTTCAATTTCTCTCCCCTATATTCCTTCCTTTCTAACCCCATTGCCTTATACTCCATTATCTCTACCTGGACTCTTGTATCAATTTCCTAAATGTATACCCTTCTCCAAAGTGTTTTTAGTTGGTTTGTGTGGGGTATTTTTGTTTGTTTTTTGTATTAAATTCTATTATTGGTACATTGTAGGTATACAACACAGTTACATTTCTCATTGGGAATTGTACCTTTACATGATGCATCTTGGTTCTTATTGTTTCCCCATTCCTAGCCCTCCCTTCATGCCCTCCACCCTTCCCTATTTACAAAGACTTTATTTCCATTTTTTCCATTTCTCAGCATTTTTCCTTTCCCTTCTTTCCTTTCCCCT